CAATTAAATAGAGAAGTTTATAGTAAGAATTGTCTTTTTTCTCTAAGGTAGGAGCTAATTTTTAGTCGTTGGATTAATTTTTTAATGGTCTTTAAAAATTTTTAGTGCGAAACACATAATTATTTTTATTCATAAATGAGACTTTTTAAAAAATTAATCCAACTATCAAACATCAATTCTTATTAGTATAAAAAATGATAGTTTCTATCATAAAATTTTCCTATAAAATATCATATCAATGTGGTATAATTTTATATCGTAAAATGTATCAAAACGACATTAAAAAGTACAGAGTTAATAGAACATGAAAATTTAACGGTAACATGCCAAAGAATTCTCCATTATTTTTTAACATATTTCCAAGTTTATACATAACCGATGAGAAATGAGAAGTTGGACATGAAAATAAGTTAAGTATATACATGACCAATGAGGGGCATTTGGCATGGGATAGGAGCGGAAATGAGAATTTTTGAAATTCTCATGTAAGGTACAATTATTGGATTTTTTTAAGGGAGAAAGAGAGAAATATGTCAAGACTTGATATGAATTTAAATTAACATGCCAATAGTTTTCATAGGTTAATAAATAGGCCAAATTACTGTTTTCATCCATAACTTGTCTGGTTATGAACCATAACTTGACAAGTTATTGTCCATAAATCACGGTTTTTGTCCATAACTTGTCTGGTTATGAACCATAATTTGACAAGTTTGTCCATAACTTATCTGGTTATGAACCATAACTTGACAAGTTATAGCCTATTAATTTCTATAACTAAAAGTTGGCCTATATACTTCCTTAAGCTTTTCATATTGGCCTATTTTTTACTATTTCTGTTTTTTTAAAACTCAAGAAAGTGAAGCCCATGGGTTTCACATTACCACATTTTATAGTAATTTTAAACCAATCTAGGAGGGTGTTATTTACTTTTTTAGGAAAGTTAATATCACGAGAAAGTTAAAATGGGTGTTAACTTTCCTACATTTCTCCCACCGATCTCTTCCCAGACCCAGCCGCCTCTCTCGTCCACTGCTCTTCCGTTGACCACGCCACCTTCCGATCCAGTACATCATCGTCAGACTTTCTTGTGCTGCCACCACCGTTAAATTTGCCTTCCAATCCACTACTGCTCTACCCCACTGTTAAATCTTCATATCCAACAGTGGTGTCGGTCTCTTCATCTGCCCAGCCCTTGACCGTCCCACCATCCCCGTGACAGTCGCTTCCGTTTACCTAGCCCCGAATCGCCTCCATTCACCCAGCCCCGTGACCATCGCACCATCCCACGCTCGACAAGGTCCAATCCCATGCGGATCTAGAACATCAAGAGGGGTGAACCATCCCACGATCGACAAGGTCCAATCCCATGCGGATCTAGAACATCAAGAGGGGTGAAGAGAGAGAGAGAGAGAGAAGGGTAGGAAGCACAGGAGAGAGAGAGAGAGAGAGAGAGAGAGAGAGGGAGATCAAGAGGGATGAGAGAGAGAGAGAGCTGAAAGAGAGAGGGAGCATTTTTCAGTTGTTTTTTCTATTAAATTTTCAAATTTATTATCATGTATTTTTTTCATAATATTTAAAAAATCCACTAATAGTATTAATCTTATAAGTTAGTAAAATGGTAATAATAGGATTTAATTAGTTTTAAATTTTTTAAAATTATTAACTTTATAAGAAAGATTATATTACTATGCCCAATTAAATACCGTAAAATAATATTCTTGGAAATCTAACAAAAGATTTTTAGACATAACAAAACATGATAATGTAAGTTTTCAGAGAATCATATTACCCACCATCACTTTCTCAGGTATTTGATTCTTATTGATGATTGCATACCAAACGTCCTCTGAGAAGTTGGACATGAAAATAAGTTAATGGCCCGTTTAGTTCGCTAAATCGAGTTTTTAATTCGAGTTGAGATGTGATTTTATGTGAGAGTTTTTTACTGTAGTAAAAAAGTTAGATGTGACTGTTTCTGATAGCTTTTTACTGTAGTAAAACTCAAATTCTAAACTCGAATCAGCTTTTTACTGTAGCAAAACTTAAATTCTAAACTCGAATCGGTGAAATAAACAGAAACTAAATATATTTATAGAAAAATAAGTGAAAGTATAAACTAGCAATTTCCAATTAGTTCTAAAGCATCTTATTAAATGGTAAAAGCTGTGTCCTAACTGAGATTCTCTAAAGCAAATGAACTTCCCCAGATTTTGCCTTTACCGGTTCTGATCCCAGATGAGAATGGCACCAACATTGATAGCTAGGCTGGCCAAGTAGAAAAGGTGATGAAAAAAAAAAAGAGTTTAACATTGATAGTTCTTTCACTTTTGTCAGGACTCAGGAGTGAGAATCCTTCACAATTCTACGTTTCTCATCATCACCAAATGTCCAATTTTCTTTGGTGTACATCATGCTGTCCCCTTTGGGCCCTCATAAAAAATGATATGTACATATGTGTACATATATATATGGAAAAAAATGGACAACTTGAATATAAACAAATACATTATATCTAAGAACCTTTCTAGGCTAAACAAGTACAAATTATTTTTTTTAGCAAAAAAAAAAAGGACAACTAATTTTTATTAAGGTTTGTGGCTAGGTTAAAACTTTTTTGTTTTATGGAAAAAAATGAACTTGAATGGAAAGATGACACAATTTCGTGGATCTCCGAAGTGTAAAGCACTTTGTGATGGGTGGCATGATGGATGAAGCATTATCGGTTAAGTTGTAATCTAAAATATGATTGGTTTTATTATTGAAACAAATATGGAGTTGTAGATTATAAACCGGAAAAGTTGAGCAAGAGTAATTAATCCATTTCTAGGTTTGGTTGTGATGAAGACAATGGCTTTATCATGTTCATAGTCGAAGATCTCACTTTCAGTCAAATAGTTTATATGAATATTGTACATACTAACATTTTTAGACGCATAATCAATGTAATATTGTGAGGGAATTTATCTATTAGGACTTAAAAATAAATAAATTATGGGTAATTCTTTATTTCTCAGCCGTTAGATCTGTAATTAAAAACTGTTTGTTTTGCATATTATTTTTTATTTAAATGTGATTTTAATCAGATCTAACAATAAAAAACTAACACTATCGGTAAGTTAAAAGATAATTCAAGTACTGGAATGGAATTTGAAACCCTTACTCATTCTGGAATTTCGCTATCAATCGGTGTATAGTATCGTGAGACCCTACATAATTTAATCACAATAGTCTCTGCTTATAAGACCCTACATAATTTTAGATATAATTACACGGTTTTAATCTCAAGAAACAACTCTTTAGAAAACGACAAGCATATTGAATAAGGAACAGGGTAGAGCTTTGTTTTTGTATCCACAAAATTCATCATGCTTTTTGATTTTTCCCTGTAAGTTGTGTTTTCTCATTGATGAGACATTTTTTTATCCGGTTAACATCATGTATATGTATTTAAATTTGCTCTTGTATATGCACTTGTGAAATTGTAGGTGAACGCTTTTAATTTGGCAAACTACTTTATACGCTTGTTCTGATGCAACCAACCCCATATGATAACAGATACCAATATATATATATATATATATAT